ATTTTTAAATATCTTCATATAGAACAAATTTAAATCATACGAATTTTATATAAAAACATATAAATAATACAGTTAAAACTCTTAAGTGGAAAAGTCATAAAAAATTTAGTTATTGATAAGAATCATCACATGAAAGTATATAGTATGAGGTCTGCAGTTTGGTTGTTCACAAAAGTAGTCAAGACTAAATATAAATCTCAACAATTAAGTCATTTTCTTTACTGCTGATCTGGCAAAGGCTAGAAGTTTGAGAGGGGAAAGATTTTAGAATAATAGATGCACAGAAAGTTGCTGATAGATGATTTCTTCTCATTTAATGCCACTATGAATGCACTGATCGACTTCTGTAAGTTTGCTGACTTCTAGGGGAGTCAATTAATTTCGCATCAGGATGAATCTAAGGGATGTTTGTAAGTGTGGGTGGTGGTGGAGGAGGAGACAAGGATAACAAGTGTCTTACAGTAACCTGTTTATTGGATTGTAAGATAACTTACATAAGATCAAATTCAATTCATTTTTGGGACAGGAAACATTTGTGACAATTGGCAGTAGCTAAAGTCCTTTGCAGCAGATGGTGAGTTCCAGGGCAGTGACTCTGTGGTGTCCAGTGGGAATTTAGAAGGCACAAGTTGATCTGTATGGTATCTCCGACTCATGCTGGGTGACACAGGTCCTACTTGCAGAACACAATTGACGTAAAACTGCCTCTTGACCTTGGATTCTGGGGTTTTTATATGTTTTTCCCTCTCCATTTTCTTTTTTGATTGGCCCAACGTCTCTCATCTTGCTCACCAATTGGTCATTCCCCTGTCTCCAGGTGAAAAATGAGACCTGTTTGGGTCATGAGAAAGGTTCACTTTTGAGCATCTACCCGATACCATCCGTCAACTCTGACTGGGAGGTGTTGATGGAACTTTGAAACCAGCACTTGTATTTTACTTCCTTATTGTCTCTTCTCTGACATTTTAGAATTCAAACAATCTAACACAATGTTCCCCTGATCGTTAACCTTTCCCCTTTTCCCAATTTCCTAACTTCATCCACATGTATACGAGCGTCCTGTCAAAGTTCTGTCTCTCTGGGTCAGCATTCCATTATGATCTGTCACGATTCATCTTTGCATTGCGTTTGTTTTGAAATTTACTGTTTTTTTTTCTTGTCTTTGTCTTGCGTGACCTCTGGTCTGATTTGCCAACAGACATTTTTCTTGTCTGAATTAATCTTATAATTAATTTTACTTAATTTTAACTATAACACACGGTTGGAACATTACACTTCTTCCCCCCCCACAACTTCTTGGCTGTCTGTTAATAGGGCTAGCTAGTAATTGGAGGCAACCAATTGAATCCCCCAGTTAGGACAAGGAAGGGCATCCTTGATATTGAGATGGTTGACTGCTCATGTAGAGGGTACTGTCAGCAAACTCAGCTGTCCAAACAAGCAATATTAATTTGGATGTATGGATTTTGCATGATTTTAGTCATTATAGAATCTGCTTTCATCCAAATTATTACAGTATTATATTTTATGATAACTTAGCATTTTTCTAGTCTTTTGTATTCTAAAAGTGATAAAAGTAAAAATTTAAATACCAAATGTGTGCTTTGTTACTGGCTATAAAACTGGGTACAAAAGTCAAGATGACATGTTTATTTAAAGTAAAACAAAAAGTTATTTGGAAAAATGGATTAGAGCTATTCTAACTAAAAATAAAGAAGTAAGATGACGATGTGTGTGATTTGCATTTTGATGAAAGATTTGTTAGCACACATTACAGGCATGTATTTTTTACATGCCTGTAATGTGTGAAAGATGGATTAGACGAAATGCCTGGAAAGATTATGAAATAAAATATGGAATTCCATTACTGCATAAAGATAAAGTTTCCATAATTTTTCTCAATTATTTGGTTTGCACAAGTATTTGACATAAGCTCTACTACCTTTTAGGGAAAGATCACCTGGAGTTAAAAATGAAAAAAAAAATAAATAAATAAATATAAATGTTGTGGTCATGCTGTTAAAATTATTTATTACCATACTGTGATTTACCAAATGCACAGATAAATTTTACATCTGTGTCGAGGCAATTTCATTTTTATTTAAAATTTTTCCCTTTAGAAGATGGTCTTACAAGCAGTCAAGTGAAACACTGGTTTTGCATCTAACCAACAGACTGGCCACATTGACTGTTCCAGTTTTCTTCACGTTTGACATCTAAGTAAGGACCAGTTTCCTGTAAAGTCCTCCCAGGAGGCACCTTCTTGACAGATTGCCCATGTGTTGTGACGCTTTATTCCATCACTCCATTCTAATCCAATCTTTTCAGAAGGCACTAAATTAACTTTTATGATACTAATGCTTCTAATAAACAAACTTACTATTGTGACAAAAATTGCTCAGATCATCAAGAAAAACTACAAGTTTTTACAAAGAAAAATGACCAGTTCATTTTCCCTGAAAAAATGTAACTTACATGAATTACAAAAATAAACCCAGAACTGCTTGAAACAGGCTAAATTACATTGAAGATTAAAATTAATGAAAATTTAAAAGTGTTGTTTTAATTGGTTCTAGATATTTGTTAATAAAAAAATCACTTTCGTTTAGTTTTGATTGAGAAAATAAAAGTACTTGCAAGATTTTCTGATTATTAAATTGTTAAGAGTTTACTTATTGAGTATTTTATTAGCAACTAAAAATTTTATTGTATGATGTTTTAGAAATCAATAAATTTACATTCTTAAAAATTAAATTACCACAAAATAAATGCGTTAACAGGTGTGAACACAACTCCGAGTTTGACTGCAGCACTCCACGTGAAATTTGCCAATTAAATAGTTCAAGCTTGATGACCGGAGAGATCATTCTATAATTTATAAAAAATGAGATTTATTTCTAACATTTAAATCCTCAGATATTTATTACATAGATAATTACAAAAAAAACTGTAATAAAAAATGTATTGGCACATGGTGTCTTATTCATAATATTGATACATCATTGATAATGAGTAAAATTCTTTGCTAAATGATATCTTATTTTTATATTTCATTTGAACTATGTTTGAATAATAATTCAAAACCAAATTCATGTTCTTGATGATTTACAGTTTGCTGTTCATTTATGCTTTGATTGATTGAATATATAAATTAGATAGCATTCTAATTAAATAAGAAACCACACATTTTTATTATGAGTTATAATCTTTTTATATTTTTAGATAGTCATCTTAATCCAACCCCAGGTGCCTATAGAAGTAAAACACCCACTGCTGATTTGTATAGTTCAAGAGATAAAGAAGTAATTTCAGTTAATAGACCAAAGACACCATTAGTTGATACAAGGAACTGGTCTGCAACACCTAGTGAGAGCTTGAATCTTTCTCTGAAAGAATCAAGAATGCAATGCAACGATCCTTCCAATCGAATAGAAAGTCCTACAAAATCAGATCAAGGAAGAACATATGCAATGAGTGCAGATAAAGAAAATTCCTCGTGGTATTCTGATCATGATAAAAGCAGAGAAGCACTGTGGGGAAATCAGAGCTTTCGAGAATCATTAAGGCACAAAGGAAATGGAGTACAAGATATATATGGTTATAGTCATGGAAGAGAAACATCTCAACTTTCAAACAGTTCACATAGGCAAGACAATCATTCCAAAATGCCACTTAATGTTAATCCAATGACTGCTTATTCCTGTGATGATAATGGTATAAGTAGAAATCAGTATTGGAGGCATAGTGGTAGTGCTGATTTATATGTTCCAAATAATTTTAATAACTGGACTAGTGGTGGATACATTCATAATTCAGATAGGACAGGATATAGCAATCACAATCTTGATTCTTCCATTCTGTCTACTCGTACTAAACCTTCATTAAGAAATTCACCGTATTATCAGTCTCATCCCTCTAGTTATTATGGTCAACATTTTAATTCCAACAATATTCATCTTGCTGGACCTCCAGATATATCAAGCCATCCAGATCATCATTCTCCATATTGTTGTTCTTCTATGTCTTCCCATCATTATCCCATCAGAGGAAATTATCAGCATGACAGTTTAAGTAAAAGAAAACATAGTACTTCTTTTGAACATGAACAGCCAGTCTCCTCATCTGTGACACAGTTTGCTCAGGACATTAAAGTATCACAAAATAATTCTAACTATAGTCCTGTTGGTAGAAAACCTCCATCTCTAGGTCCTGTTCCTGAATATATAGAAATAACCATTACATTACATCGTCAAGAGAGCGGTTTTGGTTTCAGAATTGTTGGTGGAACAGAGGAAGGATCTCAGGTTTCTATTGGACACATTGTTCCAAATGGTGCTGCAGATTTAGACGGTCGTTTAAGATCAGGTGATGAAATAATATCTGTCGATAATCAGTCTGTTATTAATACTTCACATCATCATGTTGTACAACTCATGGGCTCTGCTGCTGTTACTGGTAGAGTAACCTTGGGAATAAGACGTCAGATTTCATCTTTTGGTATGTATTTTTGTTTATTTAGCATTACTATAATGTATTTTATTAAACTTTCTTTAATATTAACTGAATTTTTAGTACTATACAAACTATCTTTTCTGATCACAAATTTTTCTATAAAGATAGTTAAGTTTGCAATTAACTCATATCTATAAAATAAATAATGTTAAATCAAATTATAGAAGTGAAGGAGAGAGTCAGATTATATATATATGAAACCTTAATTAAATTACCAATATAAACTCCATCAATACAATGATACAAGATTTGCTCTGTGTTACTAAAACAAAACCTTTAGTGTGAAATTGAATTTTCAATATTTGATTAAATTAAACTTTGAATTTAATTATTATTTGAGTTAATTTAACACAAACCGATTAAACTGTTTTGGAACAAAAATTCCAGTTTATACTTCGTTAAAAATTATAAATGAAGTGAAAAAATTGTTATCTAATATGTGAAGTTGAATATTATACCTAGATAGTACATATATCAAAATATATATGCAGTTCAATGATTACAAATGTAGCAACTCTACTAATAATAATTTTGCCATTCATAGTTTCACATATTCACAGTTAATTTTTCTACATAAAATATAGTAATTCCAAGCCAGAGTTTTGCAGATTTATTAATTTGACAATTATTTATGGATAGTTCTCTTATATAATCTCATAAAATAGAATTGATAGATAAAGTTAAATCTCTCTATAGTGATATTTAATGGAACAAGAAAAAATATTGTTAAAGTTTTTAAAAAAGTATGCCCTTCCTCATTACAAACAGGATTATTTCTGCAAAGTTAGACAATATTAGAACAGAAAAACATACAGTATTATTAGTCTCCTCTAGTATAAGATTTAAGTGATTTTATTGCATATTGTTTCTATAGTATATGTTAAACATCAGAATCCAAAATTAGGCAGAACCTTAATCCTAGGAGAAAAAATCTGAGTTTAAGTAAAACTAAAAATTCTAAAATTTAATTTCTTAAGGAAAATACTTTTTTAATTATTTTTAAATTAAAAAAGTAATTTGCAACACTAAGACATTCCTGTACACTTTCTAAAATAATTTTATTATGTTAAATGAGTTTAACGTAAAGTTTTCTCAGAAATTATATAAGGACGAGTTTCAAATTACACTAATTCTAAAAGCAAAAGAGGCTTTGTTACAATTACTTTCATCTTAGCCCTCTAAGTGCTTGCATGGCGGAAAGTTTTAAAAAAATTATTTGGATTTCAGGGGTTTAAAGTACAAATTTACTAGAATTTATAATTTTTTTGAAAGAACTAAAAGTGATAGAAACGAGACCAAAAATTGTCAGGAAAGGGGCTAAACTATTATAGAAAGAATTAAAATTGGTTTCCTTCATTGTCTAGTGTTAAATGTTACTAAAAAGTTATGCTCAATAGCTGATGTTTCAGCTAAACAAAGCAAAATAATTAAAATTAATTTTAAGTGCAAAATAAAAAAATTTTGGTGCTAAAATATCAAAAAACACTAAATCTGGGAACTATGCTCTTGTACAGTATGTACTGATGCCTACTGACTATAGTTAACATTCTGATAGAATTGCTATATTAAGAGAAGACTTCTTGTTGCATTTTGATTCTAGAAGTGAATGAAAAATATAAATTTAATTTACCGCATTATCATTATTGTAGAGAAAAGAAAATACTGTGTATTTTATAAGGACATTAAAAAAAAATGCATAGATAAACAAATTTATTGTGGTAGAGGATGTGTTTAATCAGGAGAAGCTTTACATTAAGTTAGAAATATTCTCTACACAAGTTATATTTATTGTTATGGAGAGATTTATTGTTATATCGATAAACACTGTACTGAGATTTGACTATAGTCTAATTTATCATCATGCATTCTTTAAAATAAATCAAGTATTGTTGTTATTATACAAGTGTGGATTTTAAGCCAAATGCAGTTTCACCTAAAAGCTCATTGTGCACTTTTAAAATAAAACTTAGGCTTTCATTCATAGTTGAATTATTATATTATCTCCAATGCTTCCTGCCTTGACAATTGCAATAAATAGGTATACTTATCTCATACCAAATATACACATATGCAAATTATATCTATATATATGTGTAGATTTTATTAAATCTGGTTTTCATAATTAACATATTATAAACTTGTTTAGACTTCCTTCTATCCTGTCTTTCAAAATTTCACATTACTTTTAACTCACTCAGGCTGTATTCCTTGACTATATGGAAATACAGACGTGACTCTTGGCTGAATTCTAAATGTAGAGTTAGGAATGGAGAACGTTCATTTTTAAATAATGTCAAACTAAGTAAATCAGCCAAGCAAAAACAATTTTATAGTTTAAATGGCTCTTGATGATTTCAAGCATACACATTAAATGTTTAGAAAGTATAGGTTTTTTATAAATGATAAAAAAATATTTGATAGATTTCAAAACTTTGTGCATGCAGTGTGAAAGCAAGATTCTAAAGCTGTCGCAAAGTCTTAAAGCCGTCATATAGAAAAATTACCATCAAATAACAGATTCCCAATTAAATGAATTATTTGTTTCATTATGATCACATTATTATTCTCTTTCACATATGTTTTTATTGTTATTTTTCTGATATAGATTAAAAAGATGCTTATAAATTTTACTTTATTTATTACTCAAATTCAATTTTGACCCACTTTTGGGAAAAAGTTTGTCGTCACTGGTCTAGATTGATCACGGCTGCCGAGATGATGAAAAATTAAGATTAATCTAGTACCAATACAAGAATAAAGATATGCATCTATTGCGTGGCCATGTAGAGTAACTTTCATGTAATCTCGTGATTGTGATCCATATTGCATTTTATCATGGAGCTCATGCCAAGAGAGTTTTCTCCCTTGGGTAGGATTACGTTAACATCTTATTCCGAAATCCTGTAAGGTATTTTCTCAACTGTAATCAATTAAAATTAGTGGAATGTTGTTCAATTTTCTTCTCGTAAATAAAAAATCATTTTACTTTATAAAATTATTATTGTATTATGTTAATGAAATGTCCACCAATTGCTTTCTTCATAGAAACTTAGATAAATATTTGATATTGATTTCTGAAAAATTTCTCTATATAGAAAGAGAATGAAGTTAATTTTTTTTTATAGAAAATCACTTTAATTTTATTTTTTAAAATTTCTAATATTTTCCATTCACTTAAATAGTTATATTTTTTGAAGTTAGCAATAAAATAAATTTTTCTGATAAACTGCATCTAAATTCAATATTTTATTTAACAAATTATTTTGTAAATTTATAAATATGAACACAATAAAAATAACTAAAATATGCTTTACGTGAACAAAAGGGTCGTATTAAACTACAAATCATGGTTAAATAAATCTTAAGAATTACATTAACTTATGATAAATGACTTATGAAGCATTTCTTGTCATTTAGAATCTGTATATCATTCAAAATCCACAGATAGTATTTATCCGTACGACGTCACTGTTACAAGAAAAGAAAACGAAGGCTTTGGTTTCGTCATAATTTCTTCTGTCTGTAGAGCCGGTTCCACCATAGGTAGGAAAATTAAATTAACGTCTCTTAAAATGTCATAAAATAATTTGCTGTCATTCATTTTTAATTCACCGTTTACGTGTAGGAAGAATTATCGAAAACAGTCCTGCCGAACAATGCGGAATGCTTCACGTGGGCGATCGCATATTAGCCGTAAACGGAATAAGTATTTTAAACATGCACCACGGTGAAATAGTCAATTTAATCAAAGATTCTGGGTATTCGGTCTGTTTAACAGTTGGACCTCCTCAAGGTAACTCAGAATAGAGATATTTAAGGATAGTTGTAATTAAAAATAATAATAATTAATATTAGCTTAAAGATAATATGCCGCATTAGCATAGAATTCAATAAGCATGCAATGCATATTGAATTTTTAACGAATTTTTAATGTCATTGGTGACTTTCAGAGAGTACTCACAAAAAATTAAAATATTTCATTGCTCCTGAACGAGTTTTAATAAAAGCCACCAAAAATTGTATGAGATACATCTTTTTAAAATTTCCCTAGATTTACCAAACATTTTAAAAAATATTTTTTTTAGTTATTGACGACTCCGAGTCTAAAACTCGAGTCTGAGTCCACGAACCGAGTACGAAGTAAAACCGGTGTTTCGCGTTATACTCGAGACTTCATTGATGTCACGCCAATGTTGCTGATAGGAAAACGTTAATATACAAGCGTCTAGGTAGAACTAGAGTCATTAGATAGACTGCTCACTGAATTCTCGTTAAATACAATAGAAATGACAACCTCTCACTTCAGATGACACCTGTGTTCCATCCTCATGGAAAGATACGTAAAATTATATACCACTCCAATTTCCCCTGGCTTCACGACTATTCTCACATCACCATTCCCTCAATCACCGATCGAAGCATAAACGTCCTTGTCAACCGCGCCAGGACTAACTCGCTTCTTACCAACCACTTCCTCTTCACCCGGAAAATCCAAAAAACTGATAAATGCAGCACATGTCCCGATCAAATCGACACATCCTTGCACCGCCTCGACTACTGCCCCAATTTTGACAAGATCCGGAAAAAAATTTTAAACGATTATCCTATCAACACACCAACTAACGCCAAGATCTCCAATTACTTCAACCTCTCTCCTCCCGCCTCCTGTCAGGATGCTTTGATCACCTACTTCAGTGTTTCTCAATCTCTAACGAATCGTCGCCCACTTCAACGTAGTATCGCCCCCTTCAATAAAACCGTTACCTATTATCGCCCCCTTCACTTCAAAATTCCGATGCCGAGGACCAAGACTAACGCCAAATTCGTACCGCATTCAATAGACTTGTGACTAGTATAATGTTATTTGTTCAATTATTGTACGATATAACGAATAAAATATCTAATTATTCTTAATATAATGTTTTTCTATATAGCCCAGAAAATTGTTTTTCGCCCCCTCAACATGGAAAAACGCCCACATGGGGGCGATATCGCCCCCGTTGAGAAACACTGACCTACTTCGAAGAGTACTGTAAAATGTTCCGCTACTAGCGGGCGCCACCTCCGCTACCGACAATAATCACCTACTCGTTAATGCCTGTCCTCACCGCTAGAGGACGGCCAGCCACAAATATACGTCGGCGGGACGCTACGAAGCAGGCGTTCAACTTCCCACATTAGTAAGAAGAAGAACAAGGCGATTTAAGTAGAGGAACGGACAGGTGATGTGTCGGAGAGAGAGCCATTATTGTGCTTAATTCTCCATATAAACACTTTTAAGAAGAAGATAACGGGANTTTTCAAGGAGATTCCTTGAGTCCTCTCTGGTTCTGCCTAGCCCTGAATCCATTATCCAACATGTTAAACAACACGCAATATGGCTACAATATCAGACGTGAAACAGTTTATGCTGTCACATCTCATGTACATGGACGACATAAAACTTTTATGCATTCACACAAAAACAACTTCATCAACTCCTACACCAAGGACATACAAATGGAGTTTGGCCTAGACAAATGCAAATCACTTCACATAGAAAAAGGAGTCCCGAAGAAAGAAGATTTTGCACTTGGAAATGGGAACGTTATTGAATCCATGGAAGAGGGCGAGTTCTACAAGTACTTAGGATTCCAACAGGCCAAACTAACAGAACATACAGAAATAGGGCAAAGATTAATTAAAGAATACCAAAGTAGGTTAAATGCTATCCTCAGAACACAGTTAAATGCAAAACACACAGTTAACGCAATAAACACATGTCATCTCAGTACTCACATACTCTTTTGGCATTATACATTGGACTCACACAGATCTTGAGCAACTCCAAAGGAAAACAAGAACAACGCTTACTAAGCATAAACAACATCACCCTAAATCCGCCACAGAAAGATTAATCCTTCCACGTAAAGATAGCGGACGTGGCCTGATTGACATAGTTAATCTTCACTACAAACAAATACAGTCACTGTGAGAGTTTTTCTACAGGAAACATCACAATTACATAAAGCAGTAACTCTAGCAGACTCAAATAACACACCATTAAACTTACACTCACATCATACAGACTTGACACAACATATAAAAAGCATAGATACCATCAAGCAATCGTGGGCTCGAAAGGCATTCCATGGCAGGCATCCTTACGACCTGGCCCAGAATTTTGTTGACAAAACCGCGTCAAACAGTTGGTTAGCTCGGGGATGCCTCTTTGGGAGACGGAAGGATTCATGATTGCCATACAGAACCAGATCATAAATACTAAAAACTACAGAAAAAAACATACTCAAAGATACAATACTCACAAATGACACATGCAGAAAATGTCAAATCATGCCAGAAACTATACAACACATCACTTCTGGCTGCAAGCTCTTAGCACAGACAGATTACTTACATAGACACAATCAAGTAGCAAATATAATATAAGAACTTGCAAAGAAACACAAATTAGTAGACATTCACGAACCATACTACAAGTATATTCCACAGACAGTATTGGAAAACAACACGCACTAAATGTACCATGACAGAGTCATAATCACAGATAAAACAATTTACCACAACAGACCAGACATCACACTCATTGAAAAATGCAATAAAATCACACACATTATAGACATAGCCATTCCAAACACTCACAATGTACAAAACACATGCACTGAAAAAATTAGCAAGTACACAGAACTCACCCAGGAAATAAGGCGTCTGTGGAGGACGGATAGGATGCTTGTTGTACCTGTCATTCTCTCCTGTACAGGTGTGATACCACACACACTACACAAACACCTGGGAACATTACAGTTGAGTAGAAATACATACATCACACTACAGAAGCCACTATATTGAATACATGCCATATTGTTAGGAAATTTCTGAATACAGACACTGACACACAATTTAATTTTAGTTTTGTTTTGGTTGCTGTGCCTTGACTCTAGTCTGGCATAGTACGCTGCCACCGGTGTCAACCGAGTATAACCCACTAAACACAATAATAATAATAATAATTTAAGATAATTTGGCATTAGGCACTATCTCATGCTAAATTAAATAATTTAAATAAATTTAGAACTAACTGGAAGAAAAGAATCGGTCCGGAGTGGGACTCCAACCTGCAACTCCTGCTTACCGTGCAGATACGTTGCCAATTACCCGGACCTCCGGTCCGATCTCTTCTTCCAGTATATATAAGCTTACGTTACAACCATCCACGGCTATTACAATGCCGGCTGGGGACACATTAAGCGCCCACGTCCTCCAAGGCACTCAACCGCTTCTAGCCCGTTAATTCGGCTTTGGTTGCTTTAATGTTTATCGGGTTAGCTGATGTTTGTTTTATATATATATATATGCATTTGTTTATAATCAAATATATGGGGTGGTTTATAAATAACTTCCACAACTCAAGGGCTCTGGAGCATGAAATGAAATATTTGAATAACAGGTATTTCAGATGATGTGCTCGCCATTTATTAATTGGTGACATTTTGTATGAAAAAGTTTTGATAGGTAGTGCTGGAGCTATGCAAATCACAATTATAAATTTTAAATATGTCCTCCATTATTGAATGCAATGAGTCCACTTTAATCACAAGAACATGCAGACAGATGTGCATCTTTCACAACAGATCTGGTCCTTCAAGAAACTCCATAACCAGAAGTCACAGCTGATTCATGTGCAAAAGTCTGCCTTAACACACATTGAACATAGTTAGCAATGTAGGGTGATGCACCATCTTGCACAAATGTGGTATCCCGAAGGCACCCGTGTAAAGCTCTGGGATCCGAAAATCGTCAAGACACCGTTCTCTGGCAATGGAACGAGTTTGGATTACAGTTGCATAGCTCCAGCACCACCTCTTGTACAAAAAATATTTAATAAATGGTGAGTGCATCATCTGAAGTACCTCTGTCATCCAAATGTTTCATTTCAAGCAATAGAACAAGCTCCAGAGCCCTCTGAGTTGGGGAAGTTATTTTTTTTTTTAACAATCCTGTACATTGTCCTTCATTAGATATGACAGTCTTTTGATGCATTTATTATAATTCAAAACAAGCTATCCAAATCTGCTGATTTTTAAGGATTTTTCCCTAAAGTTCCATTAAGGAAAAACTTAACTGTTTAAGAGATTGAGGTAGTAATCTATAGGTGCCAGATCAGGGCTACAAAAGAGAGGAGAGGGAACTTTCTAATTAAGCTTTCTCAATTTTTGTCGGGTGACTATTGCAACATGGGGTTGAGCATCATCATGTAACAAAATAATGCCCTTCTGCCATATGTAAAAAATCTTCAAGAAAAACATCCAAAGTTTTCCCAATTGATGACAGTATAAAGTAGCATTTACTGTTTGGATTCAATAACTTAAAATGCAATATTCTTTGTATCCCTCCGTAAACATAACAATACCTTTTGAGGATGAAGGTTGATTCTGGAGTAGCCTTCGGATCTAATCCATGTCTTTTACAAATAACATTAGTGCACTTCGCTGTTGATGCTTGAGTAACATACAGATAATTTTACCAAACAGAATTGTGTGGATTAATTATGTGGAACCCATATCCTGTACTTGTTTATCTTTCCTAGTTGGAGTGTCCCAATCAAGATATACCAAGTTTTTCTGCAATTTTTCATCTATTGAATAGATAGTTTTCACTAAGCTTCCACTATTGCAACAATTTCAGCATTTTCTAAGCCTGAAGATTGACATCCTTAAATATTTTGAACCAATGCTGATGTTTAAGGCTTCACTGTCATAAACACTGCACATATAGTTTAGTTATTTTCTAAAAAAATTATTGACAAATCCATAACAAGTTTTGATAACAATTTTCTTAAGTA